AGCTTGCCCCTTGATGGATGGCCTTGGCTTGATTTAATCTGGAATTGGCTGAGGAAGATCGCCCACTTCACCATCCTTGAGGAACTGCTGGGGCTCCTCATGAGTGCGCCGAGGGGCTGCTGGGTCAAGACGTGGACGACATGGGCCTGGAAGTAGTGCCCTAGCTTTTTCACTGTATGGACAATGGCCAATACCGTCTTCTCAATGGGAGAGTACCTGAGCTCGGCCTCCCGTAGCATCTTGCTCACGTAGAAAATTGCCTTTTGCACCCCTTCATCCTTGCGGATGAGCACGAAACTGATGGCCGACGTGCTCACCCCCAAGTACAAGAAAAAGGTTTCACCGGCTTTGGGTTTGGAAAGCACGGGAGGGGACGATAGGTACTGCTTCAGCTCCTCAAATGCTTGTTGGCACTCCGTCGTCCACTTGAAGTTGTTTGCCTTGCGCATGATCTGGAAGAAAGGGAGGGACCTTTCAGCTGATTTCGAGAGGAAACGGTTTAGGGCCGCAAGGCGTCCCGTCAGCCGCTGTACCTCCTTCACATTTCGTGGTGGTTCCATGTTAACAATGGCCTGTATCTTTTCTGGATTGATTTCAATTTCCCTTCGGTTGACCATGTAGCCGAGGAACTTTCCCCCTTGGACGCCGAAGGTGCACTTCTTTGGGTTCAGGCGGAGCTGAAATTTCTTCATGATTTCAAAAATTTCCCAGAGGTCGTCGACGTGGCTGGTAGATTGCTTGCTTTTGACGATCATATCGTCGACGTACGCCTCCATCGTCCGGCCGAGGACTGCTATGAAGATTTTGGCTACCATCATGGTGTATGTGGTGCCTAAGTTCTTGAGCCCAAAGGCCATGACGAGGTAGCAGAAGATTCCCTCCGGAGTCATGAAGGTCGTCTTCTCGGCGTCATCTTCGTTCATGAATATCTGGTGGTACCCCTTGAAGGCGTCAAGGAATGACATCAACTCGCATCCCATCGTCTCGTCTACCAACTGATCAATATTGGGGAGGGGGAACGGGTCCATGGGGCACGCTTTGTTCAGATCAGTGTAGTCAACACACATCCTGAATGTTGGCAGCTTCTGGGCGAGGACGACGTTGGCCAGCCACGTCGGGTACTTCACCTCTTTGATGTGGTTGATTGAGAGGAGCATTGTGACCTCCCCCTTGACGAAGTCCCGTCTGTCGGCCGAGAGGTAGCGCCGCTTCTGTTTCATCGGCGTGGAGGCGGGGTCGACCGACAGCCGGTGAGTGATTACCTTTCGGCTGATGCCAGGCATATCATCCGCCCCCACGCAAAAATTATTGCATATGATCGCAGGACTTCAAGGATGCCGTCACGTTGGTCCTGTGGGAGTTGCTTCCCGATTTTCAGGACACGCTCTGGCCAAGAAGTGTCCAGGGGGACCTCCTCGACGTCTTCGGTTGGCTCAGCATGTGGCCTCTCCTCGTCCTTGGTGATGGTGGCGGTTATGGTGTCTATCCTCTGTCCGGAGCTAGTTGCCGGCTTTGTGAGCTTCAAGTAGCATGCTATGGCTATCTTCTGGTTTCCCCTGGCGTAGCTGATACCGCCACTAGTAGGGAACTTCAAGCATAGGTACTTCATGGAGATGATGGCTTCCAGGTCCTCTAGTGTCGGCCTCCTCCAAATCAGGTTGTGGGCGCACTTGAGGTTGACCACCATGAACTCCATGTCAATCTTGACGCGACGGGTTCCGTCGCCGGCTTCCACGGGGAGGACTATTGTGCCTTCAGCGTCGATAGAGTCTCCGGTGAAGCCGGACAACAATGTCCGTATCGGCCTGAGCAGGGCTTTATCCAGCTTCAGCTGCTTGAACGTGTCAAGGTACATGATGTTGACAGAGCTCCCTGTATTGATGTAAGTGCGGTGGATGATAGAGTCACCTATCTCGCACCGGATGACGAGGGCGTCCCTATGTGATGCGGGGCCTGGAGGCAGATCCTTGTCGGTGAAGGCGATCACCTCTGTCCGTTGCTTCTTCGGCTGGTGGGAGCGTGGGACACCTCCCTAATGTAAAGGGATTGGGCCCATTTCTTTCTCTGGGTGGCTGAGCCTCTCAGTGTTGCCCCCCACAATGAGGTGGATGTAGTTCTTCTTCAGAGGGGGCTCCTCAAAGTCTTCATCGTCATCGCTGAGTCTGCCGATCTCACGCTTCTTCGCAGAGGGTTCGCCCCCAGTTTTGCCGGTGTTTACCCACGTATTTTTGCGTGGGCTACCTTTAACAAATTGGGAGAGTTCCCCCTGACGGATCAGCTTCTCGATGGCTCTCTTTAGCGTGACGCTGTCGTCTGTGTTGTGGGAGGTGTTCCTGTGGTAATGACAGTAGGTGCCGCCCTGATGAACGACGTAGATTTCCTTCGCCGACCGAGGATGCCGTTCAATGAGATCGTGCTCCTCGGCATAATCGAGGATGGAGCTGACCGAATGAGTGAGTGGGGTCTTCGGCCTTTCCATCCTCGGCCGCCATATGCGGTCCTTGTTCTTTCCGCCAGATCCATGGCGGCTTTGTCCTCCTTGACCTCGGTCTTCGGCCAAGGGAGCGCCTGGAGCTGGTGCAATATTCGTCTTCTTGGAGGGGTGCCCTCCGTTCTTGTTGTAGCTGTGGAGATCGTCGGCGTCAGCGTATAAGTTTCCTCGCTGAAGCGCCTTCGTGTAGGACCTTGGTGGGTCAATGATGAGACTCCTCGCATATGAGGTGCTACGGAGGGCGCCCTGAAACAGGACCAGGAGGGTGCGCTCATTGTCCCCCTCGACCTCATCGGTCTCCCTCGTCCATCGGTCGATGAATGACCGGAGTGACTCATCAGGCTGCTGCTTGACGGAGAGAAGATGGGTGAAATACTTTTTCGTGCGCTTCCTCCCGGCAAAGTGAGTGAGGAAGCGCTGGACAAGATCCTGCCATGAGTCTATGCTTCCTTCGGGGAGCGCGTTGAACCACTCATACGCTGGCCCTTCAAGAGTAGAAAGGAACCAACGGCAGAGGTATTCATCTGACGCGTTCACCATCAACATGTTATTCTGGTAGCGGCTGAAATTATCCTGAGGGTCGGAGCATCTGTCATAGGGCTTGATGGCGTTTCCCCTGTACCTCTCGGGAACAGGGGCCGAGAGTACCCTGTCAGTGAAGGGAGTCCTCGTCCTGACCTGGACGATGGGGTCTCCTCATCCTTCTACCAATTCCTTCTCAAAGATGCTGACCTTGTGCAGAAGGGCGTTGAAGCCAGGATCCCTCGATGAGTTGCCCGTGGGGGTGGCGGCCAAATGCTTGGCCTCCATCTGAGCGAGCCTTCGCTCGAGCTGGGCGATCACCTCGTCCCTAGGGTCCTTGGCGGCCATGGTTGCGCCTTGCGTCTGCAAACGGGCTGCGTGAGCCGTGTTGATTTGATGGCGTGCGTCACCCTCATGCAATTTTCCCTTGCCTTTGTCCAGGCGGGGCCGGTCCGCTGTCCGAGATACGGACCCCAAACTCTCCCTTGGCGAGCCAGGCTCACGCTGACCAATCCGTCCCGCCATCCTCTCCGAAGCAGGCCGACGACACGTGTCACCTAGCCTGTTAAAGGCTGAGGCTTTTCCACGCGTTGGGGTCGGTCCAGCTCGAAGCGGGGAATCAGGGGGGAGTGGGATGATGTCGTGTCCTGGGGCATCACCCCTTCGTCGTTGCCTAGCCTGACGGACAACAAATGGGGTTGAGGAGGCGGGGTCGTGTTTTCCCCCGTCCTTGGAATGAGTGCACTAGGGACGGTGGGGTTCTGGGCCAGGCTGGCGATGATGGCCGAGAGTGCGGCCTGGAGCTGAGGGTCAACGGAAGGAGAAACCGGTTGCCCCGAGGCAGTGTCGCCTTTTTCTGCGCGCTTCTTGTCCAAGCCGATGCGAGCATCTGGGGCGCCGCCATTGAGCTTGTTGCGCAAGTCAGTTGTGAGGTCGATGGCTTCCTGGAAGACATCCTCGCCGGCGGCCTTGTCGACCGTAACGTCCTCCTCATGTTCCCGGTTCTCTTGGGCCTCAGGGATGGCCTTGCCGAGGAGATTGCGGTTAGACTTAGTTCTTCCCATTATCAGTTAGTTGTGCTTGGTAGCGACGAAGGAGGCTAACTTGATTGTTCTAGCTCTCAATGAAAGCACCAAATGATGGAGTATTAACTCCTAGAGAGAAGTGAGAGCTAGAAAGAGAAGTGCAATAATTCCTTGCAATAAATGATTTGTGAACCCTCTACAACTACCCCCAATGGGAGTATTTATAGGGGAAATTATGAATGGTCTCCCAAGTCTTGGTCTTGGGAGGCCCATTTACAATTGGGCCGAGTACAAGATGTGTAGAAATAACTAAGTACGAAATCCGGTTCTGGGAGTTTTTTGTGGCCGACGCGGCCATGACCGATGGAGCCCCGGCCGACGGGGACACCCGATTCTTCTGGATTTCGGACCATGTTCTGAGTTGATATCTTTCTGGCCGATGGGGGGCCATCTGGCCAATGGAGACCCCACTATATACTCCATCAGTCTTCATTTTCATTTTTATTTCAATGATTATGTACAAAAGTGCACAAACACATGAGTAATGTACAAGTTAATGTACTCCGTATTAGATAGTGCATCTCAATGAGATAAAAAACATTTAGAAAAGTGCAGCTAATGTACTAAAAATGCATGAGATGCTAAAATAAAAATATTTAATGACAATACTATTCAAGATGCACATATACATATTAAAGTGCATAAGAGTTCAATTAAAGTGGACACTTGTGAAAGTTGTGAGTTCACAACATTGTATACTCTTCATTTTTATTCGTGTTTCAAAGAAATCGTTCGACATAAGTGCATGTAATAGCGATAAGTATATGGTAATGTAAAAGATAATGCATGTAAACGAGGCAGGAAGTGCAATTTGTAATAGCACATGTTAATGTAATAAAAGGGCCTGAGATACTAAAATAAAAAATTAATGGCGATAAGTATAACAAATGCACACATACATGTATCAATAATTAACATGTATCAATACTCTTTGGGTCCATTGAAATGCACATTATTCAAATCCATATAAAGATGATAATGAGAAATATCTGTTGATATCTTTCTGGCCACACGTACATATGGTCTATGTAGAGACGTACTTAGGTGGATTCTTTTATTATACATGTACATTATTTTGTTGTATTTATGAGCACCTAGGTTTTAGCATTATTTTAGCTAGTAGTTACGGACTCCAACACAATGTAATTGTATATATGGAGGCTTCTCCTCTGCGCAATAACAGATTGAATCAGCTCGATCAAATACTCCTCCTTATTTAACATGGTATCAGAGCCAAATCGATCCATGGTGTGGGTTCCCTTATGAAAAATGATTGACACGATTCTAAAAAAATGACAATGACGAATTGACGAAAAAAAATGAATGACGGCACGATCCAGACGAAGAGTTTGGTCGTGGGAAAGGGTGCTAAATCCCACACCAGAAATATTTGAGTTAACGAAGTGCTATATTAAGACATGAGTTACTCCTTCTATCAGGTTGATCTTTTAGGATGGAACCCCGTACCAGAACGGGAAAACAAATCCTGATTCTCTGCGACCACGACCTATGGCGAACGATACCGAGAGCTCCTCACATGGTGTCCAACGAGCTCCTGGCAAATCAAACCGACGGAAAATCAATGACCCCAGTTCTTCATACTACCTGTCAAATTCAGATGCGGCTGATGGAAATCCAAACTCAGATTTTACACGTGTGCCAGGCTTCACCAAAGAGCAGTGGCAAAGCTTTCTGAAGTTGGTACAAAACTGTAAGGCCTCATCCTCTCAGAAAAAACTTTCAGGCACGGTCATGAATGTTGAGTGGCTTTTAGATTCGGGTGCCTCTTACCATATGACAGGGACTGCAAAACTCATAAAGAAAGTTGAAAAATTGGGATCCATACCGGTAACTTTGCCCAATGGTGCGGTTACACAAGCGACACATATGGGTGAAGTGTCATTAAGTCCCTCCGTGTTGATTAAAGTGCAACTTGATATCCATAGGACGGTTGATAGATGATATGAAATCTGATATATTTTTTACTAATGATATATGTGTGATACAGGATCAACCTACGAGGACACCGATTGGAGTGGGTAGGCGATATGGGGGAGTTTATTATTTTCACAGTCTGGCCGATATTCAAGCTTGTCAAATGACGACTGTGGAATCAAGTGGTTTGTGGCATTCCCGGTTAGGGCATCCTTCTATAAAAGTGTTGCGCTCCATTCCTAGTTTGAATAAGTTGTTTTCTTCATCTGAACTTAATAAGCATTGTGATCATGTTTACGTGGAAAACAAGCTCGTGATGTATTTCCTATTAGTTCTGCTCGTGCTATTGAACCTTTTGAGCTAATTCATTGTGATGTGTGGGGACCATATAGAGTACCTGCTACTTGTGGAGCTAGATACTTTTTGACTATTGTTGATGATTTTTCACGTGCTGTATGGATTCATTTAATAAAAGAAAAAAGTGAGGTGCAATCTGTTCTAAAGCAATTCTTAGCCATGACAACGAGACAATTTAGCAAGAGTGTAAAAGTTGTGCGGAGTGATAATGGGATGGAGTTTCAAAGTTTGAAAAATTATTTTCTGAATAATGGAATCATCTTTCAAACAACTTGTGTATACACTCCGCAACAGAATGATCGGGTAGAGAGGAAACACAGGCATATTTTGGATGTGGCTAGAACACTTCGTTTTCATGCACATTTACCAATTAAATTTTGGGGCGAATGTGTACTCACAACTGGTTATCTTATAAATCGTCTACCTACCCCAATACTTGATAACAAGAGTCCTTATGAACTTTTGTATTACAAACCTCCTTTGTATGACCAACTTCGAGTATTTGGTTGCTTGTGCTATGCACATAATAAAGTAAGACAAGGTGACAACTGACAAGTTTGCAAAAAAAGAAAGGTGTGAAATGTGTGTTTTTGGGATATGCTTATTCCCAAAAGGGTTGGAAAGTGTATGATCTCGAAAAGGGTTGTCACTTTATTTCACGTGATGTCCGGTTCGTTGAGACCATTTTTCCATTTTCTCCTGTGGAATACAGGTCTTCTGATACACACATTCCAGGGAATGCGAATGATGAATTTGATATAAATAGAATGCATGGTTTCTTACAACAGGAGGAGTCCCACGTACAGTCTTGTGTCAGACCATCTGGCACATTACAGGATGACTCAATGCACCAAATGGACTTACCTGAACAACTTGTTTCTTTGCCACAGCTGGAGGATGCTACGGATAATGCACCGCCAACTAGTGACTCAGCACCACAGGCGGATCAGGCTATGAATTCATCACCAACAGATTCTTCTGACGGCTCCTTCCCGACAACCAGGAAAGGTACACGTCCACATAGTGCTCCTGCATGACATCAAGATTATGAAGTCAGACTGAACAATATGAAAATAAATTCTTCCCCTATCGCACGCCCACTCGCATCGATTTCCTCACGTAATCCGTATCCCTTATCTCATTTTGTAAATTATAATCATTTTTCTTTGGAGCACCGTGCCTTTCTTGCAGCACTGTCTGCGACTAAAGAACCTTCCACCTATTGTGAGGCAGTCCAGGATCCTAAGTGGCGGGAAGCCATGCAGCGTGAAATACATGCACTTGAATGAACGAACAGGTACATGGAAACTTCAGCCTCTCCCGCCAGGTAAAAAAGCCATATATTGCAAATGGGTATTTAAGATTAAATACAAATGTGACGGGACGATCGATCGATACAAGGCTCGATTGGTGGTGTGTGGAAATAGGCAGGTGGCGGGCATTGATTACACTGAGACTTTTGCCCCGGTGGCCAAAATGGTTACTGTTCGCACCATTCTGGTTGTCGCTGCATCTCGCCACTGGGAATTGCATCAAATGGACGTAGATAATGCTTTCTTACATGGAGACCTTCGAGAAGAAGTTTACATGCATTTGCCTCCGGGATTTTCAGCTTCTTCTGGCATGGTGTGTCGGTTGCTCCGGTCTCTTTACGGACTTCGTCAAGCTCCCCGTTGCTGGTTTTCTAAATTGACCGGGTTCTTGAAATCCTACGGGTTTCAACAATCTCATGCTGATTATTCTTTGTTTACTCTACGCCAAGATGATCATATTTTGTGTGTTTTGGTCTATGTTGATGATCTACTTATTACAGGGAGTCATCATCAAATGATTATGGACTTCAAAAATGGCCTGGCTAAATCCTTTCCTGTTAAAGACTTGGGAAAAATGAAATATTTCCTTGGCTTAGAAATTGCACGCAATCCTTCTGGATTTTCTTATGTCAACGAAAATATATATTGGATATTCTTGCTGAAACAGGTTTGACGAGAGCTAAGCCTGTCACTTTTCCTATGATTCAAAATCATGGGTTACAGTCTGACACTGGTCCTCTTTATTCTGATCCAGAACGCTACCGGCGCTTAGTGGGAAAGCTCATTTATCTTACTTTAACTCGACCAGATATTAGTTACTCTGTGCATGTTCTTTCACAATTTATGCAGCATCCGCGCATGGTGCACTGGGACGCAGTTATTCGTGTTTTGCGTTATCTCAAAGGGCATCCATGTCAGGGTATTTTGCTGCGATGTGATCCAAATCTTTCCTTGACTGGTTATTGTGATTCTGATTGGGCTAGTTGTCCAACTACACGTCGTTCACTCACCGGATATTTTGTGATGCTTGGAAATTCCCCAATCTCCTGGAGGACAAAGAAACAAGTTACAGTCTCTCGCTCATCCACTGAAGCAGAATATAGATCCATGGCTACATTTACTTGTGAATTAATTTGGCTGAAAAGTTTACTTGCTTCCTTGGGAATTTCACACTCGTCTCCTATCCGTCTCTTTTGTGACAATCAAGCTGCTCTTCATATAGCTTCAAATCCCGTCTTCCATGAGAGGACAAAGCATATAGAGCTTGATTGTCACTTCATTCGTGACCATATTCAGGCCGGCACCATTCAAGCTCTTCACAAATCTACCACTGAACAGCCTGCTGATCTTTTAACTAAAGCTCTCGGTGCACACCAATTCCAGTATCTTCTTAGCAAGATGGGCATTTTGGATCCTCATGCTCCCTCTTGAGGGGGGGTGTTGATGCTTATTGGGCTTTATTTTGGTCACACGTACATATAGTCTATGTAGAGACGTACTTAGGTGATCATGTTGATTTTGATGCTGCAATGTTTGAGAGCGCGAATTAGAAGACAACTATGTAGCTCACTAGAAATAAACTTTAATATTTTCTTATGATTCGAACATCTTGATTTTGTTAAACTCGTGTTTTGGTAGATAGCCTTAGCATCCAATCATTCACGGGTTGGATGTGGCGGTGACATGCCCCTTTCACTTAGTTTTATTAATTTCCGCTGCAACTTTTGAAGTTTTAATCATTAAATAAAAGTTCATCTCTATTTCAAAGTATTATTTTGGGTGGATTCTTTTATTATACATGTACATTATTTTGTTGTATTTATCAGCACCTAGTGTTGGAAAAATGTGTTAAAAAATTGCATTAAATGGTCATTTTGGGGCAATTATTTGAGTGGGGTCCACTTCCGATTTGGGCCGGGTCAAAGTGGTTTCAGATTGTCCTTGTTGAGGGCTACAATTCGATATGTGGTACACTCAAAACGGATAACGGGTGAATGAGAAATTGATTCTTGAAGTTCACTCGTTGAAATGGAAAAACTGGGAAAATGATGGGTTTCTAGTGTGTTTTATCCCACACCGAAAAACTCAAGGGATTTTCACCCCCTTATAAAGGGAAGCATCTTTTAAGGAGTTAAGATTCCTAAGGGTAAAGGCTCTCTCTTACGCGCAGGGGGGGGGGGGGGCGATCAAATCCCGAAACGGAGAAGAAAAACCGCGACTCGTGTGCGCGGGCGACCTGCGGACACGAATGTCATCCGAAAACCAATCATTTAAAGATACCAGGACCAGAGTTGCTCGAACTCTGGTGGCTTCGCATCAGAGTTGCTTTGCAACAAACACACGGTTTAACAACGCACAATAATTCCTCACGAATTTCTTGAGCTAAAAACTCCTACAGTTACTCTGCAAATTCCTTCTGTGTTCATACTTGGTTCTCGTTCGCTGGAACTCTTGTTTGTGTGCTCAAAAATTAGTTCGTAGTCATCGTATCATGGGAAACAATTGTTGCAACGCTCCTAGCACCGTGGGAGACAACAAATACGTTTTAAGGACATCGTGCGTAGCACGAGCTTTGACTAATTCTGCTTCATCTCCTTTCTTGTTTTTCTCTAGTCATTTTATTTAATTAATTTATTTTAATTAATTTTCTTTATTTTCCGAAACACACCCAATAATCTTAAAACGTATTTCTTTAGCTTGTATCATACGGATACAATCTTAAAACGTATTTGTTGATTGTTCTACTCCGCTGAACAATCTTAAAACGTATTTGTTGATTGTTCTACTCCGGTAAACAATCTTAAAACATATTTGTTGCTGATCATTACATTGAGCTTAAACAGCCCATCAACTGCATATTCCTTGCCCACATACATTCCCGATTTAGACAAAACTAGTTTGTCCGACTCAAAGACCATGCGGAAGCCATGCTTGTTCAACAACGAACCGGAAATCAGGTTTTTGCGTATTTCCGGAACAAACAACACTTGGTTGAGAGTCAGCTCTTTGCCCGAAGTCATCTTTAGAACCACCTTGCCCACGCCTTCAACCGCGGAATGAGCCGAGTTACCCATCCACACTTTCTCACCATTTGATGGCTCAAAAGTTGTGAATAACTCCCGGTTTGAGCAAATGTGTCGGGTTGCACCGGTGTCCACAAACCACTCCTTGGAATTGGATCCAACGAGGTTGACTTCCGTAACCACAGCCGCTAGGATGATGTCTTCATCCTTTTGCCCACCTTGCACCAAGTTGACTTGAGAGTCCCTCTTCTTCTTTGGTGCCTTGCAATCCGCGGACCTGTGTCCGTTTTTATTGCAATTGAAGCATTTTCCATTGAACTTCGTCTTGGAAATGCCTCCCTTGGGACCGAGTTTGCTCTTCCCATTATTTTTATTTTTGGAGCCTTTAGCATGCTCCACCACGTTGGCCTTGGCGCTGCTAACGATTGGGAGTTTCCCATCGTTCTTCCGGTTATCCTCTTCAATCCGCAGACGGAGGATCAATTGCTCCAAGTTCATTTCCTTTCGCTTATGCTTAATTAAGGTAGTTCTTGAAATCCTTCCAAGCCGGTGGCAATAAATGAATAATTGACGCCACTTGGAATGACTCACTAACTGTCATTCCTTCATCTCGGATTTCGTTGAAGATCATTTGCATTTCCTCAACTTGACTCAAGACCGTCTTCGAATCCACCATTTTAAAATCAAGGAATCGACCAACAACAAATTTCTTTGCACCGGCATCCTCGCTTTTATATTTGTGGTCCAAAGCATTCCATAGCTCCTTAGCCGTAGCTAGTTTGCTATATACGTCGTAC